ATTCTTGTCTATATTCGTTGAATTATATGCGAGGAAAAACCTTTAAAGGCAACGCATGCCCTCCCTAGATAGGGATATTGATTATACCATCACACACACAATGGAAGTTCCTTACTTTTTATTATATTGTTGGAAAAATAAAAACATAATATGAAGTGGTTTTAACAAAGAAAATGAAACCAAAATAAACAATCTTAACTTGGCCAAGAGTATCCCCTCGAATAAGAACCCTAAATTGTATGAGCAATATAGGGTTTACATGCAAAGGATCATGAGTAAGTTCGTATAACATATGTATATTGTAAACCTCGAGATATAATTCCAACAAATCTAGAGTCATGATTGAGTTTTTTCCATTTAAACTCTTGTCAAGTTTCCTACCAAAAATTTGTACTGCTGTTATATTTGCATTAGAAAAATGGGTAATTGGATTCTTTGCATACCGAGTCCATGTAGAAAGAGCTTGCGGTAGTGCTAGCTGACGCTAATCATTTAACAGAGATTTTTTCAGGAGTGCAGATTTCATTTTGTTAAATGGGTATGGACTTTGCTTCTTTTTTTTAAAAAAAAAAAAACACACTCAGAACTCATGGATAGGCTTCTAACCATCCAAGTACACCTCTAACATATCTCTCTTACCTGATTTTCGGGTCTTAACACCATTATATATGAATTTGGAATTTAATAAAGTTAAATTTGTCTGTATAAATCTTTATATGTTGTTTGGATTATATATAGATGTATAAAAGGAATTATGCTGATTTAATTAGATTGTAAAGTAAATATTCATATCTTTTTTATAATATGTGTTAGACTTGTTAATTCATTCAAATAAAAAAAATAACATGTTTGAAGTCAGGACGAAATCAACCAATAATATATATATATAAAAAAATTGTTTTCATGTAAATTATAGATTTCATTCAATACAACTCAATGTTCTTAAAAACATGTGTGACAACTATTAACTTACCTATTCTACAAGAATTTTAAGTCAAATAAGAAGATATTTATGATAGTAACTATTATCTATTATTTGCAAAGATTATATATCAATTATGAAATGTATGTGGTGACAAGAAGACTTGAGATTTTTTTGTTGTTTTTCTTATAGAATTTTCTAGCACATCAAAAAGACTAAGGGAAGATAATTTAAGAAAGAAAATATGAGCAATTATAAACAAAGTTTCCTAGCTAATTTAGAGCATAAAGTGTTAATAAAGCCTTTAAGGAAAACGAATGGAATGCATAAGGATTTCAAGCCAGAGGAATTTGTTTTGTAATTTTTTATTTATTTTAGTGTTGGAATATTATTATCTTTAGACTTTATTCTAAATTAGATTTGTTTTAGATCATTAGACATTGTTTTAGGATTTGCTTTATTATTACACTTGTATAAGTTGATTATTAAATAACTTTATTGACTTGCAACCCATAAGAAGTTTATTAAGATTATTTAGAGGGATTATATATTACTTTTATAGTTGTGAGTTTTAGCAGCTATGACGATTTGAAGAAATAATTTTTTTTTTTATTTTTTGCGTTGCAAATAACTTTCTTTATAGGGACAAAAATCATATACCAACTTGTCAAAGATTATTTGATTTCGTGATGTATACTTTGAATTCTTAGGTACAATGTTATTTCTTGATTTAAATTCTTTTTTCAATAGCTTTAGTTTTTAGATACACGGTTACCTTTATATCAAGATTTCAAACCTAATATTTAGGTTTCTTAGGTTGATTTTTAATTTTATTGCAGGTTACGATACCATATTATTACAAAATTTGCAAAATTATTATTATTATTATTGATTGTTTAATTAAATAAATAAAGTGGAAGCAACCCGTTAATATACTAAATTAGGCATTGCTAACACGCTATACCTAAAAAAACTACAATTATTTATTTTATTTAAGTTATTAGACACATAAAAACCCTCAAAATTATTAATATTTATTTCAAGTTATTCAAAAGAATTTAAAGTTCATCTCCTAAAAAGGAGAGTTGTTTTTTTTTCAATATTTTAACATTAGTCCCTTATAAAAGAGCAGATATGTCAAAAATTACATTTACCCCTAAAAACAAAAAAGATTATGTCAAATTTCTTAAAAACAGCATTGGACCGTATAAATGATAAAAGTTGGGATTTTAACTCATGATGCGAGTTGGGCTTTAGACCCAACTATTATTTTAGTGGGCTTTGAAGGAATTTGGGCTCTGATCCATTTATTTCGTTGGTTTTTTATATTATTTTCTTACAATTTTTAATTTTTTTTTTCATTATATGAGAATATCGCCATTTATGACCTGCCATAGAGTGAATTAAATTGGCAAAACAAAGTCACCAGCTCCTCTCGTTTTACTCCTTTAGACTCGATTGCCTCGTCCCATCATTATATGATGGAGACTGATGTATTAGAGAGGGCTGTTGAGCTTGTTTTTGACAGGGAAGGTAATGGTTTTGGGCGGGGATGGCTGGTTTTTGTGTGTGTGTGCAGTGATGGTTACGGGAGGAAGGCTGTTGGCTTTGTTGAGAGGGGTTGTGGAAGGAGTTGTTGGTGTTAGTGTGGCAGGTTTGAAGACGGAGGCTGGGGGATTTCCGGTATATGCAGTGTATGGTGAATGCTCTGTGTTGATGAATGGGAGGCTCTGTTGGTTTTTGAAGGAGACAAATGCTAGGGTTTGGGAAGTCAATTAATGCCAGATTATGGGAATTGATATGAAGAGATCAATTTGGGACTTTAATTGAGGATTTGGCCTGAAAATATGGGATTGGGGAGACTAGAATATGGATTTAATGTGGGATTTTTGGTTTAATTGCTCATGAATTTGGCTATGGAAGATTGCAATCTCTGGTTTAAATGTCTGGAATTAATTTAGGACTAAATTGAATTAAATCAGTTCAATTAGACTTAATTGGATTGAAATAAATGAAATAATTGGACTCAATTAAATTAAATGGATTGAAATGGACTTAAATAAAACTTCTGACAAACATTCCTTATTCTTATTACAGTCCTTGGATTTCGATTTCTATCCAATTTCATTCAGTTTTTCTTAAATCATCTTTTTTTCAATTATATCTCTAATTTAATCAATTTAGACTTTTAGATTTATAAACATGTTGCAGATTCATCTTTGATTGCAAAATTATATAATTTCCATCGATCTAACTTTTAATTTTGATTTTCCACTTCAATTAAACTTTTATTGATTTTTATTTAGCTATTTATTTTAAAATTATTTTAATTTTTTAATTTTTTTTTATTTTGACTAAATCAAATCAAATCAAATCAAACATTTTCTTAAAATTTCTTTTCAATTAAAAACATCATGAGCCAAAAATTCTCAAACTCAATTTTACATCCTCGATTATAAATCCAATTTCAGAATCTAGCTATTCTTTGTATTTTTTTTGCATCTGGTATTTTTTATGATTTTCAAGATATTTTGAAAAATAAAAATTTAAAAAATAATAAAATAATTAAAATAGCTAAAATTAAGATATATATTTTGGATTTTTCTAATTTTTTTCAAAATTTATACAAAAAATGAGGCTAAAAGATTTTTCAAGATAGTTTTAAATAGTAAATAAATTTTTAAAGACTAGTAAGAAAAATTTAAATTTCTAGTCTTTTGAAGTGATTAAGTCAAAATCAGCAAATAACATATGGTCTAACTTAAAAAATAAAAATAAAAAAGATGGATGATATTTCATCCCTTGAAGAGAAAAAAATAAAGCTTCACATGTGAGTTTGGTCTTATTATTTATGGGCCAAGCGTATAAGCTTATATATCTGATGTGTTTTTTATTTTTTATTTTTTTAATTTATTTTTATTAAAATAAATTAATAAAAATTAAATTGAGATTTTTCTATCACATACCATTAAATTCTCAATTGCTTTCTACTATCATCATAGACTTTTTTGATTATATTCACAGATACTCTTTTTTTTTTTTAAAAAAAAGAAAATTTCATGGTGTTTTTTTAAAAGAATTTTATTTGACCACTAAATATTTTTGGATATTATTTGAATAAATAATATTTAATTTTTTTTATAAGTCCATAACATTTTTTTTTATAATATTAGAAAACACTCTTTTTTGTCTCTTTAACTACGAATATTTTTTCTTTAAATTTTATTTGTTAATTTTCTTGTGCATGTTGATGTTTATTATTATATAATCAAATAAAAAATAAATTAAAAAATAATTAATCACAATTAAATATATGATTTGAGTGTCAAATTTAATAAATTAACCTAAATTGAATCTAGTTGATCCAACAAACTGATATGCTGAAACTCTCAAAAAATTTTATACTTAATATAAATGTAGGTTTTAATAAAATCATATTTACACTTACCATGTTAATCAAGCTAGTTCCTTCTTGATTCAATTTGAAACTTGAAGCGAGAAATGCATTGGATTGAGAGGTGTCCAGGATGGGTCAGTTTTGGTGCCATGGCTAAAGATTTTCCCTGCACATTCAGTTTATTGTTCTTAATTTTTTAATGCAATTCACATAAAAAATGATCAAAATTCATCTGAAAACATAGATTTGAAAAAGAAAAGAAAAAAACAAATATAGTGCACTGGCAAGATAAAAGATTTCAAATAAAGGAGATGCCTACTTTTATTCTTACTCCAAGTCATCCAGATTCTTTTTACAAGTGAAATAAAAAAAAATTATAGGTTTTTTTTTTTAAGTTATTTTTTTTTATTTGATTCACAGCTAAACGCTTTCAATTGGTTTGTTTTAACTAGCAAGTGAAATTTGGATAAGATATTTTAACCTGCACCAGCAATATATAGGTAAAGGGGGCGAAAAATTGTCTAATGTCAATTACTTATATTATAAAATTGATAAAAACAAATAAAAGATGAGGGACTCAATTGATAATAAGGTATTATGTTAAGGGTCAAATTGAGGTTTTCCGAAGAAGAATTCAATAACACGTGTGCTCGTACTCTTTTCACTATAAAATTCAGTGCCTGATTCTCATGACACGTATTAAAATGCCAACAGAACTTGAAAAATTCCTTACCCAAACTTCACTCAACTAACTGTAAACCACCGCCGTTATGCTCTTCCACGACGCCGTTCACCGGCGACTGCTGTCATTACTGCAGCCGTGGTTGCAAGAAGAACCGGAAATTGAACTCCAATTAGGGTTTATCAACTCTGAATTGACCGCAAAGAAGTTAAAATTCGATGTCTCTGCTCTCAATAATGAATACGAATCCTCTCGGTTTAAATTTAAAGAAGTCACCGTTGATCACTTGAGTTTTCGCTTCTCCAACTGGTCTTCCCCTGCTTGCAAAATTGGAATTCGCGGTGTCAATATCACTCTTTTAGCTGGGTAAGTTATTTTATTTGTTTATGTTGTGATTGATTTTAACGTGAGTGTGAATTTATTGTGTTTTGGTTTTGTTATGTTTTGATAGGGAAGTGAAGGAGGAGGGGAGTTTGAGAAGGGAGAGGAAATTGAGTGAGGAAAAGAAGAAGGCGGTTGCCGGGTTTGATCCTGAGGTATTTTATTGTTCATTTTGTTGCTTAGAGAGTGTGTATAGAGATCTAAAATTAGCTCAATTAAGTGATGCCTTGTTTAGTGATTTGATTGATTATGCTTCAGTGGGATCACTGAGATTTTTCGAGTGTGTATTGGGTGTTTGTTTGTTTGTGGTGTAATTGTTTTTTTATTCTGGGGAATACCTGCCTTGTATCTCTATCTGGTTGATTCAGTTCATTAGTGATTTAACTTGTATCAGGTCTCGGTTATATTGCTGAGTTTGTTTGGAAATGAAACTAATTCATTTATGCAAAGAATAATTTTTTTTTTAGTGTCTTTTTGTTGCTAATTCAGCTTGATTGAGCTAGTGGATACCTGTTTACTTTTTTCTATTGGTAATGCCCGTTTACAATCACCAAGATGTTGGTTTGTGTACATCAGGGTAGTGCCTTGCATGATGTGCTGGAGAGGATCTTGCTTAACCCACCTTCAAGGAATTGGTTTAAAACCTCTCTGTTGAATCTTGTTCTCAAACATTGCCACTTACAGATTTCTGATACTAATCTGCAAGTGCAGTTTCCTGACTTGAATGATGCTGTAGTTTTTTTGTTGGAACTAAAGGATTTTAATGGAGAATCTGAGCACTCTGATCCTGGGTGTCTTTTAAGAGGGGTTGTTGGTGCAGTTCTTAAACCTCTAAAAGTGGTTTCTTTTGTTATGGATTTTAGAGGTTTTGGGTTTGCATATAAGATGGAAGATCAGATAAACCACATTTCTTCTTTCACAGATCTGCTTTCTTGCATTAAATTAAATGACCTTCGGGTGGCAGACTTTAATATCCGTGTTCCAAAATTAAGTCTGTTGTTTTCTCCACTTGATCTCCTTGTTTTGTCAGCTTTTGGTAAACTATCAACGAAAGAACGAAAACATGTCAGAAGTGGGAGACAACTATGGAAACTAGCTGCAAACAGATTAGGATATGTCCCTTCCTCTCCCAGATTATCATTGCATAAATCAGTTGATTTCATTTGCCTCTGGCTGCGTTATCAAAATGCATATGAGTATTTGCTGTCTCTGCTAGGATATTCTGCTGACAACTTATTAAAAAAGTCTGTTATTAAGTTGTCTGAGGGGAAAATGTTTCTGAATTCTGTCAAACACAATTGGGGGGAGATTTCCGGCATAGAGAAGGAGTTGCCTGCTGAAGCTATTGCCCAGGCACGACGGATAGCACGATACAGAGTAGTCTCAAACATTCAAAATGGTAAAAATAGTTTCAAAGAATCTTTAATGGATAAACAAGTCAGTGTTTTCTCCAAGATCCTTTCAGTATTCATGGTCATTTGGAATGTTATGTACAAGATTTTGCTCTATATTTCACGATATTTCTTTTTAATTATACATTTCTTTCAACGATCAAAACCTGATTGGAATCCGGGAAACAACTTTGAAGATTACAGCTCCCGATATTGCTTCCTGCTAAACTTTGGAAAGATTTTAGTTACTTTTTCTTCAACAAGCAAGCACAAGAATGTTGATGAAAGAATGGAGTCCCATACAGGGATTTCATTTTCTGATATACACTCATTCTGTCTATCAATTCATAAGCTGTTACTTGCATATGTTGATGAAGTTTTTGAACAGTCTTTGTCTCTTTCCTGTGGGAAGCTGAAGGTTAAGTCCTCTTCTGTTATGGAGACTGCAATTGTGGATAGGAGTGTAAAGAATCCTTTTAGTCCAAAAAAAGTACGTCGGAAAGAGAGTGTTGATAAATTAAAAACTATCCTGATGGGTAAGCCTGCACAAGCATTTCTTCCTTCACAAACTAGTGAAACCAGTGTTGCAAATCCAGCTGAAGGAACCTGTAATCCATATTTGCAGACACTTTTGGGAGAAATGTGGTTGGCTTGGCAAAAATCTTCTGCGGGATATAGGGATAATGAGATTGCATATTCTGAAACACCATGGCTTCTTTGTGAGATTAAAAACTGTTTGATGGATCCAAACCTGAAGAGACCAGTTTCTGGGTTTTGGAAATGCAGTTTGACAGCTGGGAAATTAAATTTAGCTTTGGGGTATTCATCAGTATTGTCATTGGCTATACTGCTTGGCCAGATACAGCATGCTCTAAATTTGAATGAGAACACCGGGAGGGCAACTGTACTTCTGAATTTTCCTCCAACCATCGAAAATCAGGAAGAAATTAGTTGGGAAGATAAATATGAGTTGTATTCTAATAGACTGAAGTTGACTTTTCTTAGAATGCTTCCGGAGAAACATATTGAACTTGGAGTTTTTGTAAATGGTCCTTGTATTGAAATGACACCGAGAAAGGTTGGACTTAACAGTGGGGATAAAGACATGAATCAGGATGATTTTCACCTTGGTTTTGATATCCAGAATATTGAGGTTGTTGTATGGCCAACCTCAAAGTCGGATTTGGCATTAACTGGATGGTCAGAATCTGATGGTGCAGAACCAGAAAGCCACAAATTGCGAGAGCCTCAGATAATTGAAATTCCTAAACCAGATAATGAAAAGTATGCATCTGAGGGATGGATTTCTCTTGGTTCTTACTTCAAGCTTAGTGGTTTCAATATTTACAAGGGGAATTCAGCAGAAAGAGAACAAAACCAAATCTTTTCAATGAAGCCAGTAGCTGCTCGGTTATCATTCTTCAGGTAGGGGATTCTGGCCTTTCCATTTGAATTTCATTTTCTCATACCAGGGACTTTGGACACCTTGATTTCTTGGTCCCATTCCCCTTGTTATTATCTGTTTTGATTGTTAAGTAGTTACATTTATTCTTGTTTTCTCAAGCGTCTCTGCTTTCCATTGCTTGCACATCATTTAAATCAAGGAACCTTCTTCTTCTTTTTCAAATAATTGCTACCATGAATTTGCTGATCAACATGGGGGAGAGCTGTCTCATTCTTTTATTATTCCTATCCTGGGTATTCATGGAATTAGATGTGTGGTTGCCTGTTGGATGAACTGTCTTGAAAGAAAAAAGACATCAGCATCACAGAATACCATCTGAGGATTTTTTTTCTTGATCTTTTTCTTTGCATGTATTCAATTTCTTTGAAGTCCAAAAGCATATAAGAGCAAAATATCTAGCTTAATAACGAACAACATGAGGTGCTTAAAGATTTAAAAAAGTAGAATACTGTGCATCTGATGGATATTTCCTTCTAGTTTTTTGATGAAGTAGATAACATTGCACTAAAGAACATTTTTAATCCCTCTTTGACATTGTTTCTTAATATACTAACCAAGAATCTATCTTGTCTTGATTTTTGTTTCAGGGAGTTTGTATATACATTTAGCACAACTGTCATTGCTTTCTCAACAACTTTCTCTGTGACAGCTTCAGGATTCTCTATTATATCATTTATGGATGAGTTGCATGTTCTCTTTCAGGTTATTGTGTTCTTTTACTTTTCTTGAATAGAAGTAGCTATAGGGAGTTGATCAAAGCACATGTCTAAATGCCAACACCTTGAATTTTAGTACTTGAAATATTATGCATTTAGTTGTATCCTGAGCCAATTCTCTGTGCACTCATCGGCTTTTCACCTTATTGACCTCCCTTTTATTCTTTTAAGGCCTTTAAATTTAAAGAACGAATTTTCAAGTTGGAGATGCTCTAAGGACAGTTGAAATAGTTTGTCTCAAAATAATGAGAGAGGACATTGCCAATGAATTGTTGATGGATGTTCCTAGGAGAGCTGAATGGACTGGTTTGTTACTAAGGACGTAAACTTTATTGACTTTGACGTGGAATTTAATAGTTGCATTAGTGATATGACAACAATTGCTTTCTAGGTTTTGACATGATGACCTTATGGTGATGGTAGCACCAATTTTTTGTTCTAGGATTAAGGAAACTATAACACCTAAAAAAGGGGGTGAATTAGGTGTATCACTAATATTAACAAATCATACAAATTAATTCAAATAAATACAATAACCAATAATATTATTAAAGTGCTTAAAATAAATAAGGGAGAGAATTTGCAAATAGATGGCAGCACTAATAAATAGGCAAGCCTACATCCATACCCTAAGTACCAAACCGTACTTGAGTATTGTATTTGTTACCTTGTCCAAGCTTTAGAGTACAATGACCACTTGATGAATCCATACTAAGATTTTTACACCATTTGAAGATATTTCTTCTTCAAGATTTTTTCTTCCACTTATAGATATGCCTTGTTCAAGATTTTTTTGCTAGTGAAAATACTTCACCAAAACCAAGAGTTTTTTCCTAACTCAAAGGTTTATAAGTGTTATTTTTGTTATCAAGTGGATATTACAATTGAAACTTCTAGCATCTCAATATCTCAAAAGATAGTACTTATAGGATTAGAAAGTGTTCAAGTGTAGTGAAAATGAGAGTGTATACTCTTGTACTAGATTATGAAGGTTTGATTGCACAGATATGAGTATAATTAGGGATTTATAGTTTAAAAGTTGTTTTTAGACAAGATATATATAGCGAAAACTAGCCGTTACAGCCCTATTGATGTCTGAAATGGTTGACCAATTCATGTAGAATTCTAGTTTTGATAGATTTAGCCTAGGTGAATTTTTAGAACTGTCTATTAGGTTTTTAAGCAATCCTTTTAAGTGTATATATAGTGAAGTGTGTGAGTTCATTTTAATTGTGCTATCAAGATAAGATATAGAGATTTACATAAAGCACTAAAATGAACACTTAAATTCTAAGTCTTCACCTTGCTTTCTTTATGAGTTTCAATTTCTTCATGAAATCCTTCATAGTTATTGATATGATCTTTATGCAAAACTTGTTTAACACTTGTTCTCAATCGAACATATTATTAGTCCAATTTTCATTTTAATGTTATCGTCAAAATATATAAAAACATAAATGAGTAACCTAAAGGTCAACACAATTGATGCTACCATGTAGTAACATGAGAAAGAAAAAAAAGGCTACAATCCCCTAATTGTTGTAAAGACCTGCCATGGCATTGGTATTTTAACTCCCATTTACCTTTTCTTTTTGCATCTGAAGGAAGAATAGTTAAAATAGTTGAAAGTTTTATTGTAGTATTTTTCCCCTTTGCTTAATGCAAAAGAAAGATATTGTATTTTGAAGTTACCTCATGTCTTTGCACTTGTGTTTTTTCAAATGGCATGACCGAGTCATATAATCTCTATCCAGGTGTTTGCAGGTTTGTTTTCAACAGTTTCGCTTTCATATGCTTTCAGGAGCTTTGATATAAGTGGTTTTATGCCTCTTCAAAACTTTGTGAGGCAAAATATGGTGTTCAGTGAACTTGAGAATGATGAAATTAGTGCTGAAGGAGCAGCTTTGATTTGTAATAGCACTTTGGTCTCAACTACCGGAACCTTCAACTTCAAGTCGATGGATGTAATTCTTCAGAATTCTAGGATAGATGATGAGGGAAGTTCTGTAAAAACATACGCTGCTACGAGCAACCAAATGGCTAGGCATGATTTGCCTGATTGTGGAATTTTGATTTCTGTTCATCAAACTCATGCAGAGGTATCTTTGGAAGAGCAGAAATTGGAAATTCTCTGTGATTTGCAAGGAATTCAGTTTGTAATTTCTAGATATCCGGACCACATGCTGAAAAGTTTTGATCACTCTGTAGTTAGAAACTTGCTGCAGCAAACTGAGGGTGGGTTATATGAAATATTTCTTTCTGATTTCACATTTACATTTTGGCTGGGTCAACCTCACAATAGTTTGAATAACTTGGATGGTAAAACTTCTTCAAGTGATAATACATCACAAACAGTGGAGAATGCCCATTTGATCAGTGAGTGTGAAACATCAACTGCTCAATCCTCTAGATTCACTCAGAAGTCAGATTTTGCTACAGATACCACAGCTTCATACCCAAGTCAATGGATTCTCGTAAATGTTACACTTGGTATAATTTTTGTGGCAAAGGGCTCATTAAAGAATTCTCTGGTTGGGCCAAATCAATTCAATAAGCTTACTGCATTGCTTGAAGTTGGGAGAAATCTTCAGACAATCTCTTGGGGAATAAAGGTGCTAATATCCTGAACTGCACAGATGCTATATCTTCTTTTGTTTACTTATTCAATGAATTTATAGACTTTTGCACATCTTTGGTAATGCTGAATTATTAGTTTATGTTTTGAAGCTCCTGTCTGATTCCTGACTTCTGCATGTTCATATCTGTTGTTTACTAATGGGAATGAGAAATTATGCTATTGGACAGGGTGGCGTTCTTGTCCTTGAAACAGCAGCATTAACAATGTTTTTTCGGTGTGTTGTTTCATATCTCCAACGTATAAAGGATCTCTTATCAATCATTAGTTCTTCTGTTAAACAAGCTGAAAATGCTGAAAATGAGGCCCAAGAGATGCTACATATGACCCGACAAACCAAATGGGAATGGCTTGAAGCTTCCACTATAGATGTGTCTCAGTTTTCTCTTACTCTTGTTGTTGAAGATGGCTCTGGTATGGTGTCCTTCCTTTTCTTATATGTGATACATATGTGATACTTATGCCACATATTGCTTTTGAATAATTAGTTCATTTGTGTAGGAGGTTTTCAGGAACTTGTGATTGAGGTTGATGTCCATATGAAGTTTGAATCTGCCAATCTGCTGAGGAAATTCATATTTAACCTTTCCAGAATGGTGATCTTTTCTCAAGTTCATAGAAATTATGTAGAAAAAGAAAATCATGGAAGTCATCAGAGCAAAATGTTGAATAATTTAGTTGCCTCTATATCAGCTGAAAAGCATGAGAATGATCATAAATCAAATCAGGTTTGGGTTGGTATGGGTTCTATTTCAGGTTTTGAAATGACAATATCCTTGTCTGAAATACAGGTGAGCAATGCTAAATTTCTTTTGTTTCTTTCAAGTTTTGAAAATGCAATCCTTGTATAACTTGCTGCAATTTTCATGCTGTCGGTGCTTCTATCACTGGAAGAGCATGCATGCCTTGTTTTTGATATCTCAGTCTAACTTGCCTTTTATATCAGATGATTTTATCCATGGTTTCATCCTTCTCCTCTGCATCAAGCAAAGAGACAGGCAGTGACCTGAAACGAAGGCGATTGCCCAGTAACCAAGAACCTGACAACTGTTTCGAAACTATGGTTCCTGATGGTACATGATGTGTATATATATTTTTTTAACCTTTTGCAGATTTAAGGGAAACTGAACTAAATGTTATTCATGAGTTGTGTAGGAGCAATTGTGGCAATTCAAGATGTGCATCAACACTTGTACTTTGCTGTTGAGGAAAGGGAAAATAAGTATAGTTTGTTTGGTGTTATTCATCATTCACTTGTAGGGGAGAAGGCACTTTTTAGGGTAAGAATTATTATTTCACATTTCCATCGAATTCAGGAGCTTAGAGTCTTGATTTGTGGCAATTTCTTGAATCTTATAATTTCGGTATTGAGTTGTATGTGTTTAGATGTTGCTAACTTTGTATCTGTGAATTGAATAGCTCTGGACACAACTTTAATTTTTAGATGCTTTCCTGTTTGGTTATTACAATAGTCTGTCTAGCATGCAGTAGTGGCTTTCTTGCTCTTTGTTCCAGAAGATATTGTGCCCTTGTTCAACAATTTTGGGAGTCATGTGCTTTTTATCGCTTACTGTGACATTAGGCTTTGCTTTGCATAAACAAACAATTAGAACCTTCACACTTTCTCTTATGTTGTTTGGGGAGAAAAGGAAAAGTACAGGCATTAAAACATGGGTGCCCATGTGAAATTATGCAATCTATACTAGAATCAGGTTGGGGGACTGAACATTTAATGGATCTTTTAAGGTTCCATGGCTGTATACTCACCTATGATCTGAGGCTTAGAAATGTTGTTTTTTGGAGATTATTTTATGCATTCATTCATTTTATTGTAGCCCCCTTTTTCATTGAATTACCATTGTTCCATATCCATACATCGATCATTTAATTCTAGTTTGCATTTATATTTTAATTCTGCTTTCCTCGTGCTTCTTGTGCTATCAGTTGGTTCGAGAAGGTTATATAATAATTACCACATACCTGCTTGTTATATACATGTTTCTTTTGTACTGGGTCCAAACTCAATGATATGGGGAAAGTGATCTTAACTGATTGTGAAGTTGGAGCATGAGCTCTTTTGAGAACACAGTACTGATCCCTAGTGTGCTAATGTTGTGAATTTTTTGGGGGACAGTTAGGAGATGTTATTGATACTTTGCATACTTGTTTGGGAGTATAGTTGTGTAGCTCTAGGTAGAAAATATCACCGGCAGCCAGCTCAATTCTGAATCATGACGGTTGATGGGCGAGTCTTGTCCTATTGCTTTACAGCATTACTTACTGATGTGGCACCCTCCCCCTTCTAAACCTGATTCTGGAGCCAACCATCGTGTAACACTTGCACAAATCCTCTTCTTCAGTAGGAGGGATGCATTTGAACACTTCTGAGGATAACGTTGTTGAAGCATTCTCTAATGGAATGATTTGTAATACCGGAAACTTTCAAACTCATCCTTCATTGTGATTTCTTATTACATTAATAGGTTCCCTTTTGCACTTTGTCTTCAAACTTAACTACCATGATACAAGTGATGTAGTAGTGTAACCACAGCTCAAACTTACTTGTAGGTCAAGCACCATAAGCAAAGAATGTGGAAGTCATCAGTTCTGTGGTTTTCCTTGATATCATTGCATGCTAAGAACAATGTTGGTGAACCATTGCGATTGAACTATCATTCTGGATCAGGTTTTGTTGAGATCTCCAGTGCTAATGATAGTGGTTGGTCACTCTGGAGGATACTTCCTTGTCAGCCTGAAAGCTACAACAATGATATTGATTGGGAGCCATACAATAAGTTGGTTAAAGATACTTTTTACCTGGTAAATAAGAAGAGTGACTCAGCTGTTGCATTTGCTGATGGAGTTCCGTTGTTTGTTAGAAAGCCTGGACACCCTTTCAAGTTTAAAGTATGTAATCAGTTTCCTAGGACGCATGAGGATGCAGGCAGAATTTCTGGCCAGTGCAGAAGTCTCCCTTGCCTTCAAATTAAAATTGACCATGTTTCTGTGACCATTGTCCATGAACTTTTAGATACAAGGGACAGGTTTCCACTTCTTCGTTGCTGCATCAGTAATACTGAGCTTAATCTCCAGATTCTATATTATAAAACCAGAGTTATGACCACATCAATTGCTTTGCTTGATTTCTTTGATGCCCAAAGAAATTTGTGGTGAGTAATTATTCCAAAGAGAATACTAGTTTATGCTCCTAAATTTGTTTTTACATCAAATTGATCTTCAATTTTGATGCAGATTTGTATTTATTTCCTCTTCTATGCAGGAGAGAACTTGTCCACCCTCGTGAAATATGTACATTCTATCGTTCAGTTTTCCACATTCAGGATTCAGAAACTGTTCAGCATGGAGCACCAGTTCATTTCTATTGCCGAAGTAAAGAGGTCAGAATAATGACGATTGAGATGATATTTCCTTCCACGGCGCATTCTCCTACCATTCATAGAATGTAAACAATATTTGTTCTTGCATATTGGCAGTTGGACATATCCCTAACTGAGCTCTCCTTGGACGTACTTCTTTTTGTGATTGGGAAATTACAATTGGCGGGTCCATTTTCATCGAGGAGCTCCATGATTTTGTCCAACTGCTGCAAGGTTTATACTTTCTATTTAGCTGGTTTTCCCTATGGGGTGTGTGTGCGCGCGTACGTGCCCTTGCTGGTGTCATCTCCATGTGCCAAAACATGCTCATAAATCATTCCTTTTAGCTTAAGCTTATCCCTGAATCATTTTTTATAGTTTAAACAACAATTTGTTTCTTACTGTTATTTGAAATTAGGGAGTCCTTTCTGTAGGCTTGGGATCTCAAGGCTTTCCATTATTCATCCATGTGTGGACTACCAATGGGCAACCCTATGCCCTCACCATCCCATGCTGTTCTTAACAACTTGCAGTTGGTTGCCAATTCCTTTTATTTGATACATCATGGTGCTAATCTGTGAACTCTGACTGCATACATGCATGTCTCTGTTTAGGTGGGATGGGGAGGAAGAAGGATGGATAGGGTAAAATGGAGGTACGAACCCATTCATCTTATTGTTCGGCTAACAAGGGAGGGAAATGATGCAACCAATCCACACAATCTAGGATGATTGTAGATTACAATTTAGGAAGGATAGAAAAGATCCTCCCCATCCATTCTTGGGTCTTTATCCACCGTGCCAACTAAGAATCATTCACATGTGAATTTGATCTCATTCCGAAAGGATATCTATTTATATTCATCTCCAACTGGAATAAGATTCTAGCATCTATTTTATCTTGTGAGGAATGACATGCTTTGAAATGTTGTCTTTAACTTTAAGAGGTCCAATTTCACATTTTTCTCTTGGACCTGTTGATGCTATGACTGCAATTTAAACAGCATTAATGATAACTGCTTATTTATTTTAAGATCCCCCCCCTCCTCCCATCCGTTTGAGTGTAACATCCTGTTATATTCTTATAACCATCCTGCATCTTGTATACTTGGAAAGAGTTGTAATGGTGTTTACTATACCAGGTGGAAAACCAAACAGGTTTGAGCCTTATTTGTCACTTCTACAACAAGAAAAGTGTTACAATAGCCAGAAAACAGTCTGCTTCTGTTTCTTTAAGGTAACTTATTAGAAAGGTCTGTTTAATGGTTATTGGGTATTGCACATACAAAGATGCACATTCTTTTTTTGCATGTATTGAGTTTAACATTTGATTTATTAATATCTCTTGTTATTAACGTTCTGAAGCAGCCAAATATTGGCAAATCAACCTCCAGAAAGCAAGTCACTTGTTACAATTCAGCTTTCTGATCTCGGATCTTTTGCTACTTCCTCACTTGATATTTCTATCCTAGAAACTCGAGTGCTTGCTTGGAGAACATCTATAGTGTCACTTCGAGGTATGTCACCACATTTATTTGAATTAAGTATTAGCAAATGTGTCCTGTTTATTGGTTTATCAAAGCAAACTGTCAGCTCTCCTGTCCTGCTTGCTTTACTGACTCAAGTAGACATGATTGCTAAATTTAACTTCGTGACTGTTAGTTGTTTTTGAGTGAAACTGATTTTAATTTTCTTTTTCTGTTTATTAAATGACGGGGGATGAAGAAAGGTAGCAATGTGAATTAATATTTGATTTAACTGCTAAATAATAATAGAATAAATACTAATATTCTTAAATAATACTAAAAATCTAGAATAATCATTCAAAGTTTAATTCACATTGCTGTCTTTCTTCATTCCCCATCTGTAAATTTCTACAAACATATCAGGTATAGTCATGTCCATTATGGTTTAAAATTTTCTTTTATTTTATATTTTGACATTCAGAACATCTTTATGGATATATAGCTTTTCTTTTATTTCTAATCCTTAGATCTTAATTCCTTGTAGAAGCATAACTAAATCTATAACTATGGGATGAACTCTTGTGGCTTCTATAATCAAAAGCTATTTCCATGCCCTTATAAATTGCAAGGTTGCAATGTTGCTACAATGCTGTTACTAACTCTTGTGGTTTTGCATAAATTCTGAGTAGATGTTTTTTTGTTGTGCATTTGAGTCACCTTTTTATTTGCATTGAAACAAGAGAGATTTCAGACATTGATATCATAGGACTTTTTTGTTAGTTACAGTTGACACTTTCATCCTTAAACAGATTCAAGAACTTACCCTGGGCCATTTGTAGTGGTTGAGACTTCAAGGAAATCCAAGGTAATTCCCCTAATATCGCACTAAATGATCTTATTCCAGCGAAATTCTTATCTTTTTTTCTTATTTGATTGATTATAGGATGGTTTGTCAATTTCGGTTTCTCCTTTAATAAGAATTCATAACGAAACTGAATTCTCCATGGAACTATGTTTTCGACGTTCTCAACAAGATGAAGATGTGTTCGCTCCAATTTTACTGAAGAAGGGGTCTTCTGTTGATGATTCCATGAAAGTGTTTGAGGCTATAGGTTCATCTGGTGGATTAAAGAAGGCATTAATGTCTTTCACTGATGGTGTGCTTTCTCAATTCAGTACTTCAAATCAAATCTGAAAAATATTTTGCCATATTTGAAGCAGTATTTTTATTTCTTACCATGATGCATCCTTCTAATCCTCTCTTTTCTTTGTTTTCTTGTCAATACTATCCTATCCTCATTATTGTATATAGGACGCAAGTGCTGAGTTTCTTACAAGAAGCTATTATCTGTAAATATGTATCTATGGGAGAGTTTGCATGGAAGAAAGTTTGATGCTTGAATTTGTTTTTGCTTGATTTTTTACCCCTTAACCTTCCCAAATCTGTTGCCCCTTCCATTCGCACCTGGTCCATTTGGCACTGGCCACTGATAACAAGGCAATGGTTGGAGTTTGGTTATGCTGAACTTCGGTAAATCTTAATGATGAAAAAGAATAGTTGGAGTTTGCTGTGCAATATCTTAAGGAAAATTGTGAGAGGGTTTTGTATCATACTGGAGTGAGAGATTTCAGATAAAAATTCAAAACTCAATCATAACTTTCTTTGATATTGTCTCTTTGTTTGTTTGTTTTCTTTTTTATAGCAAACTAATAGTAATTAAAGTTTCTTCATTCGTAGAATGATGGTTAGGAGGCATGGGGCCTAGTTCATGAATCACGCTGCTGGCAAAAATTAATGGCCAGGATTCTCCATGGTTCTAAGTTCATGGCAGACGTGTTATTGTCTCAGAATAAGCTATCTTGGCTGCTTGCTTGTTTCTTTCTTGTTGAACATTATCAAGTCTTTCTCATAACAAACTTGTATCTGGTAATTGATTTGCAGGAAACTTCTTATTTTCTTTCAGACCTGAAATCACAGATGATTTGATAAATTCTAAGAGTCCTCTTTCAGCAGAATGGTCAGACGAGCTTAAAGGTGGAAAGGCTGTTTTCCTTTCTGGAATTTTCGATAAACTAAGCTACAAAGTCCGCAAGGCATTGTCTGTTGATACAATTAAATGTTCCTTTAGCACTGCTGCTTGTACCCTAAAATCTGGAGACGCGCATCCTACTAACCTGCATTTTCTTATTCAAAGCATTGGAAGAGATGTGCCTATCATACAGCCTGATAAGTCTAGTGGTAGTTCTGATATGACTTCAGCTGTTGCATTACAGGAGCAGAAGGAAATTTTTATACTTCCTACTGTAAGGGTGTCCAATTTACTGCACTCTGAGATACATATGCTTTTGACTGAGAAGGGTAAAATCACAAAATATGATGTATTTATAACTTCTTTTTTGGCTGTTTCTGATTCCTACTAATAACTTTAATCTTGGTGCAGGTCCATGTACTACTGTTGGTAGTGACAGTTTTGGGAAGCAGGCAGCCATACCATGTGGATCAACAGTTGACTTTTATGCTAATCCTGCTATATTATATTTTACTGTTACCTTAACTGCTTTTAGTATGAGCTGCAAACCGGTGAACAGTGGTGATTGGGTCAAGAAGTTAGTTAAGAACAAAAATAAAGTGCACTTTCTGGACATTGATCTGGAGTTTGGTGGTGGAAAGTATTTTGCATCTCTAAGATTGTCACGTGGGTACAGGGGCATATTAGAGGTTGTTATGCATTTATTTATCACAAAATGTACAATTTACTTGGCATATATTCTAGTTGCAAGAGCATGTGTTGCAAATAAAATGTCTAGCCACTCGCAATCTCTCATACAATGATTTTTTTTTTGGGCAATTGCTTGTGCTCTACAAGTTCTTATGCACATCCAGTTGGAAGGACTACAGTTCATTTTGGTGGAAGACTAAACCCTATATTGTTTGCAGGTTTCTGTCTTTACACAATATTCCTTGAAGAATGACACTGAGTTTTCACTCTTTATGTTTGCACCACATCAGAAGCCTCTGTCTAGGTACTTATTAAATCTGAGGATACGAAATGTACTCTTTAAGAACTCATGTTTGATAATTTACATTTTGATGGCGGTACTATTTGCAGGGATGAGGTCAGGAGATTCGGTTCCACCATTCCTCCTGATTTGGGATTATTTTCTCCTCCTAACTCGATAAGATCATGGTTTTTAAAGTAAGATTACTCCCTTGCTACTGCCATATAGCAGTATAAAGTTCTTACTCGGTCTATTGATACAATAAAATTGCTACATTTTTCTCTTATGGGTTTATAATAAACTCAGCTGGTGCTATCAGATCACACAAGACGCGGCTTAAATTGTTAGAGGACTCTGTATCTGAGGCACTGTTAGACTTGGATGCTCTGTCTGGCCTCACTGAGATAAGCTTGGACAAAGAAGAAGGGTCTGGAGAGAAAAGCATTGTGAAGTTTGGGGTTTCTGTGGGACCCTCTTCGAGTAGTGCAATGGTCCCATCACAGATAGTGACTATGGTCCCAAGACATGTTGTATTTAACGAGTCAGAGGAAAATATCACTGTCCGTCAGTTTTATTTGGAGGTCTGCTCTCTGTTCAATTCTAGATGTTTGTTAGGTGATTTTGTACAACTTGTGATCTTACTGGTTTCTCTCCCCCCCTCCCCCCCCTCCAAACAATTTTCAA